TCGGCAATAATAAATTGGTCATAGAAACTCTTTCAAAAGGAGTGTTATATTTGTTTGTATTTCAGCAATTAGGCGAGAGAGATGCTGTTTATTTTTATCAATGACTGAGCACGTTGTTTACGCCTCGGAGAGTGTGTACTCTAGTCTTATTCAACACACACTGCCTTGGCGAGATAAGACGGCGATCTTTCATTAAGTAAAAAATAAACACGTGACGCTTTTTATCACTCGCCATATTGAGTCATCAACAAAAATATAATAGCATTGCTGATTACATACAATTTTTCCAAGACAGCGAGATTAATTTACACTGGTGCATATCCTGGTCATGAAATTTGAATCAAATTCAGTTTGAACTATTTAACTGCACCTTCTATATCTAAAATCAAACAGCTCTTGAAGTGCTGCACTATTTTTTATTGGTCTTATCGCGGCACATTTTTATTGATGCATCACGCAGCACCAGCACAGAGTCGTATATATTATGAAAGAGTGCACTAAAGAGAAAAGAGACCCTTTTGTTTCCTCGCTTTCCCCGATAATATCCGGGGGAAAAGAGCATATCGACTTTTGGCAAAAAGCAGGCCTAATCTGGAGAAAAGAGTCTTTTTTGCGAAGTCGCTTTTTCAGCTTTAATTCTTCGCGGGTGTGTGTTATTTTTTTAAATCACAACGAAAAAGAGTGAGTACGTGTATGTATAGTACTCGTGCGCTCATTCAGCAGAGCACAAAACACAAAGAGAGTAAAAATCCGGCACCGCACAATGGCACAAATTCCCCGAAGCCAACCTGCCTGCTGGTTTCTGCACATTATTTTCCACATCCACGTGAATCCTTTTCGCTGCAAATTTGCCCCATATTTTATAGAAAACGGTTGTATTTTCCATACATGTATTTGCAGCTTTAATTTTTATTCATCCACCCCGTCGTTTTTAATGAGTCTCTTTTCGCGGACGGATAAACAGCGAGCTGTGACTCATTTATATGTTTCGTCGGTAGTTTTGTTCGAGCAGCGCATTCGATATTTTCCTTCCATTTATGGTAAGGTCGGCCTGTATATGTGCCTGTCTGTCTGCCTCGCTGCTCGCCAGACTGCTTTGCCGTCTAACAAGTGAATGTACTGCTCATGACACTGGAGAGAGAGAGAGAGAAAGAGCAGCTTCAACAATCGACAATTTGAAAAATTGCGTTCGATTTTTTATTTTTAAAGCGCAGAGAAAATAAATATCCAATCCGTCTCGTTTCACATGCTAATGAGAATCGTTCTTTCCACTCCTTTTACGAAACATTTAAATTATTATTATTAAGATTAATTATTGCTAGTTTGTTGACCCTACAATCTGCCATTTTTAAATCGCCGGTGGGACGTTCTCTCATCTCAATAAAAAATAATTGAGCGCGGCAATTAAAGTACAAATAAAAATGAAAGTCCGAACGATAAAATCGCGCCCGGCCAGCTGTCAAAGAAAACTAGACTGCAATAATTTCGGGGTCCACGCAGGTAAGGATGCTGCGGAGGAGAGCAAAACGAACTACTTTTATGACCCGCCCCGAAGCAATATGCTATAAAATTTTATATCCTCGTAATGCTCCTCGCGCGAGCAGCAGGGAAAAAAAACTAAATAAAACACAATCGAAGAATAACATTGAAGTCGAACATGCTCGTCTGCCTGCATTCCCTCGGAATTCATGGACCGATTTCTAACTCTGCACACTATAGAGGCTGCAATCGACTTCTGAGAAACAGATTAATGCGGTGGTGAAACTTCATGAATAACGCGGTACATTAGCTATATGCGACAATCGGCGTGAGTGTGTTTAAAGAGGAAATCTCGTCGACACTAATTGAAATCCTGTGACTCGAGAGAGACGGTAATTGAATGTGCCGCGTGCTTCTATACTCGGCTGGCCCACTTCTTTTACTTTTTTAGCATATGTGCATCAAGACATCTTGCTCGCAGCTTCCATCCTAAAGTAAATATTTATTGAAAAGAGTTTGATTTTAACCAAAAGAGTAAAAAGAGGGATGCTGAATTTAGCCTAAAATGAAAAATATTCCAAAAGCATTATGGAAGAATTCTTTGGAGATTTGAGTTTTTTTTTTTTTTTTAAAGAATTTGTATTTTATTCAGTAGAAAATGTATTTTAATTAAAATTGCCCAATTCTTCAAAAATAATTTGCACTTACAAATTTTACGCAAAAAAAAAAATTATTTCACCACAAATTATATATACGAGACTATTATACGCAATTAGGCACCTAAATATATGGAGTCGCGCAAAAGATCAGCGCATTGTTTTACTGCGAGCCGGTCTCGCTTGCTGCTTTTTTTAGTATTGTTGTTGCATCTAGAACGTTGACCTTCTTCACACGCAAAACGAGATATCCTGGGCTACGAGTTTGTAAAACGCAGCAGAGTCTCACTCACTCTTTCTCGGCGTCCAAGTTAAAACTCTCTCACACACTCGTAGTGTTGTTGTGATTAAGTAACAACAGCAGGTAAGCCGTGAGTAGAGTGCAGAGGGGAAGTAATGGGAATATGTAAAGCGTGACTGATAGCGAGTGACCTGCCACCGGAAATAATAAACGTGCAGAGGGGAAGAACAGCGCGACAGACAGTGCATCGACGCTCAGGAAATATATTTTTGTACGTGCGCTGCCGAATTTATTTCCCATAAAACAAAAACAAACATACACAACATGTAAATCAGCCCGCGCAGGTATATTAACCTGGGAATGCAGTTTCCTTTCGGGTCAGCTGACTGGAAAATTAGTCACTTGGAACATTCAAAACAACAGGAGAGACGCGTTAGTTGCGGTCGCTGTCAAAATGAGGGATGCTTTTCTGATCAAAGTGGACGGAAACCACAAATTGTTTTGTTTTCTGGAGCTTTAAAGTTCACATTTTTTTAGACCCACGGTTTTCAAAACTGCTCCTGTTTCAACAATTCCTTGATCTGCAATGAACCAATTAATGTAATACAAAGTTCAATATTTTGATACATTTTCATTTGGTTTCAATTATTTTTAAGCCCAATTATTTTGCCGAAATATCGCTTAAATTCAAGTCAACCTTGTTAAAAATTGGTTTGACAGGTAGAAATTTAAATATACTTTGATTTATTTCTTTTTTTTCTCTTGTCAATTTATTTTCATTACATTTAATTAGAGTGTTAAATTTCTTATAGAAAATATCTTAATGTTTTTTAACGTTTAAAAATAACGTTCTAAAAATATGAGTAAATGTTTAAAATTTTGAAATTCTGCGCTGCAATGATGAATGTTGACTATAACTCAATTTCCATGGAGCCCTTTGACCTGCACGCCCGGCAGAGAGAGATTTTCACTCAAAGCATTTTGATTAACGTGGCCAAAAGCGCTCAACCCGAATTCCGAATCCTTCGAAATCCGAATTGTGCGGCCATGTGTTCGGCGGGTGAAAAGGCTTGCAGACGCAACAATAAATATAAATCATCACCTCGTAACCGCATCATTATTTGCCTGTCTGGCAGCCGCAGCGAGAGAGTGAGTGCATCAGGTATATTACAAAACATCTGTGTTTATGACCTCAAATAAACTTTGCTGCATTCTCCTGGGCTGTAGGAGAAATGGTCGCGCCGCCTCGGTCTCTCTTGCCCGAGGCCAAAAAGCCAAAATACGTGCCGCGTACAAAGGTATGCACAGCGACAGGCACCGTGATTTAGTGAGGCGCCCAATATGAATTATCATATTCTGTATTGACGCGCTTTCTAAACCGCCAGGCCACATGGCCGGGCGCGCAATTATTTATTGAATAATTTAATTCTATAATTAATTTGGTATTCATTTATGCGCGCAGCAGGGCTAATTGCGATAGAATTCTGGCGATAACGCATTAATAATTATAAATGTGTGTTTGAAGGAATGCAGAGAGTTGATAGCACGCTAATGAATGGAAATGGCTCTGCCGATTGGTTATTCGCGCCGAGCTGCTTATCAACCGCGCACGAGTCCCTTAATTGGCCGCTTTGCGATGAAATTGTAGGCGACAAACAGCTGATTATCGTGTGAGATGATTCCAGATGGTTTTACGGAGAAATAGCTTGGCTATAAATAGACACTGAACATCATTTCGTTTGATTTTGACAAAAAAATATACTGTATAAAATATTTTTAATTTACAGCGATTTCTTTATGAGGAAATTTCATTATTTTGTTTTTACTTTTTTTTATAATTGTTGACTGTTAAGTATTTTTACTGGCCATTTTTGAAATAATTGTTATTATATGTATAAAAGAGCTGAAATTAGGATTTTTTTTAAAAGTAAATTAATAGTACCAATATTCTGCTAATTAAATTTGATTTTTTGCATTTTGGGCTGCTTATGTTGACGTAAAACTTATATTACATTACCAAATGAATTAAATAATAATAAAAAGTTTGTAACAGAGTCAGAAAAAGAAAACCATGCCTGATAAAGAAATATATAAATATTCGTACAAAAATTCTTAGAGCATCGCGTTTTTTTTCAATAACCAAATACAAGTAGAATAGTCGGTTTTTTACATCAATCGATCAATCTTAAATGAAATATAGTTAAAAGTCGTCGAAAAATGATTGTTTCATTTTTCTACTCGATCAAATTAGTGACAAAGCAGGCAGGTGTGCATATAAAGTCTCACAAGAAGCCTATCTAACGCGGCAAAGCTGCAAAAGACGTCAGGTAATAACAACCTGGCACTGCAGCACCTGCACCTTTTCAATTCGCGGCAAAACGAGCTTAGCCGCAGACGCTCAGCGTCTCCCGCATGACCCAGTGCGCACCGAAGAATAGACCAGCCGTCTCACGTGTTAGGAGAGCTCGTAATAAACTCAGAATTAATTTTATACTATTTTTTTTCAAACTAGGTGAATTTTTGGCGGGTGACTGTTCTTTATCTGGAATAATAATTATTCATTTTTTTTTTTTTTTTTTTTTGCTAAATTTCCTATTTATTTTTTTTTTTAAATCTGGTCTTACCTGATGCCAGTGGTCCTCGAGGGATGGCTGGGCCGAGAAGTAGCCTGTGTCGTGGATGTCTTGCAGTTCCTGGAAGATGTTTCCGCTGGGCAGCACATCCATGTTGGGTCAAGCGAGTTGTCGCAAAAAATCCGCAAACGATTGAACTTCACCGCACTCGACCACCGAAAGAATCAACAATTTCTACTTCGGAATCTGATCGGTCGCCGACTGTGGAGGTCAGCAACAACGACCAGAGCACACCGCACTCGCGGGGTATGTACGCAGGGTACGTGACGAGTGCACCGGCGAACCGTTCGTCAGGGTTTGTACTGTTCAGGGTTCGCACTCGACCGACGCGCAGTCGCTGGCCATCGACAGGGTTCACGAAAGGGGCCGAAGGATGCCGGTTTTCAGTGAAGAAACGCAGCTGGCGGACAGGGTGCTCGCAAGCGACGATAGTCACTCCTGAACAGACTTGGCGGCCGGCTAACACTCGACTGCCGCCGCTGCGGTCTGCCCCGCCAGACAGAGGTCCCGCGCCAGCTTGGGCCGCCGCCCGCCGCGGCAGCACCGGCCTCGCCGCCGCCGCCGCTGCCGCAGACGCGTGCCCTCTTCTCCCACGGGGTGAGTCGCCCCCAGGGCTGCGAGGGGTGCAGCCCGCGACCATCGCTTTCACGGCCTTTCTTCCTTGACAATTCATGCAGTGCTGCTGCACCATCGAAACTTGCGAACATTCTGAAACACAAAAAATAAATATGAATAAATAAAAAAACTTTTTATTAATATTCGGTGCATAATAATTCCTTTCTTGCTTCAAAATTTCAGTCAGACGAAAAAGTAAAATCTGAGAAAAAAAGTTGTATACAATGTGCAAACCTATTCCATTAAAAACGTTCAACCATTTGAGGAAGATTAATCTGATTAATTAATTAGAACATTGAGTGTAAGAATACAACAATAATAAAAAAATTTTACAAAAATGAAACAATAAAGTTAGGCTAGGAACACAGAATTTGAAACATCTTTGATTTTTGTGTGCATCGTATTGCCTTCTTTTGTATTTTTATCAATCACAGAGCTGCAACAAATCAATTTGTTTTAATGGGTAAAAAAAATCACTAATATCACAAAATACTTGAAAATATTTGTAAATTAAAATTCTTTAAATTTTTGGCACGTTCTTGAACAACAACCCCATCTTTTCTGGCGTCTTTAATATTTAAAATATGAATTTGGTTGTAATTGTTTATATTAAATAGCTTCATGATTTGAGAGTTATTTGTATTTTCATTTGCAACTAAATTTTAGCATTAATTTATTTAATTTATAACAAAAATTTCCACTTGAAAATTGCACAATTGTCTCCACTCCAATCTATCGTCTTTGATTTACATCGCATTAAAAGCATCACGGCAAGGTCGTTTACAACTCCACGGAAACATAATTTACTATTTTTTTTTTCTGTTTATCCCGCCGCCGCTCTTGGTTCTTTTAATTACATACAGTTTTGGAGCGTTACAAAAAATAAAAGCTGTCGTGTGCACCCCAGCCCGCATGAAGTGGCAAGATTTTAACAAGAGAGGAGGCGACGTACGTGGGAAACCGAGTGGACCTCCATCACGCCGGCATCTGCTCAATTAGCAAGCAATTAAGAGGCCGTTTGCGGCCCTGGAATGCTGATTCTGCAAAATAAAAAGCTACAGCCTGGCCACGGTCGCTATCTAATATTTGATGGCGTGCATTTTATATTAAAGTTTTACAAGGAAGGTTTTTGACTGGCTTGACACGAAAGGTGAAAGCAGCACAGAGATGCAAAATGAGCTGCCCAAAAGGAACAACTTTTTTCTTACATACAGACAGCCAGGTTGAAAATTTTAACGTGTGGATCCAGAGGCATAACTGGTTTTATTTACGCTGATGACCTAATGCCTTGCTCCCTCTGTGAGTAATAATATTTCAGGTTTGAAATTACAGTAAAAGGTCCGAGTGTTTATCTTGATGAATAAACTTTAAATTAAACACAAAGTTATGCAAAAAGGTTGAATATAATTTTTAAAGCAAACACTTTACCTACTTTTGTTTGATAAGTGAGGTCATGGAATTTTAAAATACAAAATTTCACTTATGAAAATTATTGTTGATTATTTACAAACAAAAATTGCATCTAATAAATTTTGTCCTCTTTTGCACTCTGGCCAGGTTTTGCGCTAAACTCATTGAATTAAAGAGGCTGAAGGTGAAAGTACATATAACGACAGAGTGTGGGGCATTTTAAATAAGCATCCATTCTTCTCTCACCACTTCGTCGGTCTCGTTGCCGGCACATGTTCACAAAAAGCGACGCAGTACTGCTTTTATTAATGAATGGAGTACTTTAACACAGAGCGTGCTCGGGTGACGTCACTTTTGTTTTATGCAACTGTAGCGCATGCAGACCTTTTCCTCAATAAAAATAATTCTGGGTCGCATGACATCATCATGAATACTGTGAACCCACATATATGTAGCGAGCCGTTGAGCTTCTCCGCGCAGTTTGTATGTATATTATACACCTGAAAGGTCGTTAAACAAAGTAAATAATACAATGTTGTACTACCTCCGCGTAACTTTCATGATTTCCAAGAAAAAGATATATCTTTAATGCAAATAAAAACAGGATTCTAACATTCAAAAGAAATTTGAATCAGATTTTCTTTAACTTTATGATCAAATTGTAACACACGCTGTTTCCATCTAACACATTTCAATTTAAAATCGGGTATTGAATTTACTTCATCAAAATGGAAAACATATTACCTCTGGTTAATGATTTTAATTATGCCAAAATATTATGCTGATGAGTAGTATGAAATGTTATAAATTTCAAACACATAATTATGAATTAACAATTAACACTGACTGGGAGTTTTGATTATTTAATAATTATTTTTGTATTTATTTATTATTTATTTATTTATATATTATTTTATTTTACAGTATAACGTGTATTCCACGCTTAACTTGCCTGAAAATCAAAACGCTAAATGTGTGTGTACTGAACGCCTAATTTAATCTTGTTAAGTAAAAACCAAAGCAGGCATCGGAAACAAACAAAAGCGGCTGAGCAAACATATAGCAAGTCGGAGAATTGTACACACGAGAGGAGTTGCGCGAAAAGCATCTGGCTAATTACTTCAGTTTCTAATTATTGATGCCCCATAAATTACCTAGCGGGAGATGGAGCGTGTTCATTCCATCTGATTTGTAAAAATAATTTTTAAAAGGCCTGGCTGGGGGATGATTTCGCCACGATGGGGGTTGGCGAGGGAGAGGTACAACATTGCTGTAACATTGCACTAGTGCCACCCCCTGCACGTGTCTTCCTTGGCAGTGTAAGGAGGGAAGCGCGCGCGGTGCAGCAAACGGAGATTGATGCGTTCCACCCGTGGTTATATGAGCAGTTAATAGCACTCCATGGTCCACCCCTGTGATTTATTGGCTTAAACAAATTAATGCCTGGCTGCTCCTCTGCGTACACGCGCGCATCTTCCTCCACCGATCTTGCAATTTTCTGCCAAAAATTGTCTCATGCGCGACACGTCATGAATATTAATGAGAAGAATCTTCAATCAAGTAAAAGCAGAGAGAGCAAAGCATTTCTGATTGTTAGCAATAAGGTTCTCAGATACGCTGAATTTATTTCATTCTTTCTTTTGTTTTTAATAATATATTTATTTTTTATCATTGTTGTTGATTTAAAACAGCAAAATTAACAATATATAAATATTTAATGTTACAGTTTTAATTGATGAATAATTGTTAATAATTATTTTTACTTATTAAAATATTATTTAAGTCCAGCCAATTTCAGAAGAAATTATAGGCTGGTGCTTATTAGACTAATTACTTTCAGTTAAAATCTTATCTAATTAAATTACCACCTACTTTTCTTGTAAACTATTCTCAAGGCAATTGTTAAGATCCTCAAATTTTAATTTTCTCAATATGCCAATTAAAAAACTGATTGTTTATTGTATGATTGGTATTTAAAAATGCAAAATAAATTTTCTCTAGTAATATTCATTAAATAAGCTTGAATCTCACAATAATTATGCAGTAATTTGCATTTTCGACCACATGCAACGCTTCTCACCTTGAGGTATAATTTATATATATTTGCTCTTAGCGCGCGAGTCTGTGACTAATTCAAGATGAATTTGCTGTTGTTTCTGTGTATGGAGCAGCGAGCGGTTAATTGAATTGCTAAATTACACCTGCAGTTGTCAGATCCAGTTTGCAGACCTGCACAAACAACGCACGCTACCTGCTCTCGTCTCGTGATGTGTTATTCCGCATATTATGTCTGCCTGCTGGAGCTCATTTGCGCGAGCTTTGAGACGCACGGCAACAATAATTACACTTGGCGACGAGGCGTAATGCAGTTGATTAATAATTACTGCAGCGCAATTGCAAGAAGAGCATCCACTCTGCAGCGATACATTTAAACTTCACCTACGCTTTAGATAATGCACTCTGGGAGTTTGTCGCAAAAATGCTATATACATATGTATATAATTTAAATAATTTATGAGGCAGAAATATTTTCTTAAATTTTTTGTTTCCTTCAAAATAGACAAAATTCTTTCATCCATTTTATAAAGTTATCACAACGAATTTTTTTATCATTTAGTTTAATTTTTTAATTATCCATTTGGTATAATTATGTGAATTGAATTATTTATTCAAAATTATCACTTTGCATCTGGATTAATGGGGTGGAGATTTTTTTGGAGAGGCAAACATGAGTGTTCCAATTTAGCTGGTGTACTTTATACAAAACAGTCCAAATCACGTTTTCTCGAGGAGGATAACTGGCGGGATATGTAATTGTGTGCTTTGTCAAACTAACGCCCGACCAGAGGTGTTGCCCATATTGTCTTCACTACAAGGACCACTCCTCTGGCATTCCTCCTCATTAGTGCATTTTTCAAGAGCATATAATATATAGGCCAGAAATTGTTGCACTTCGTCATTTTAAATTACCAAGTTGAAAACAATTTTACAGTTGGAAAAAAATAAATTTTAATCCAATTTTTTAATCAAAATATTGCTAATTGTTCAAAAATAAAACCAAGATGCACATATCAGGCTCCAAAATCCACTTTCATGATACAATTATAGGATTTTTGCCTTTCTTTTCCTTCAAGAGTATAAGTAAAAATATTGTTAAAAATAATTTAATTTATTATAGGGGTTCATGCACCTACTTGTTGTGGGACCTTTTGTTACTTGAGGTGTTTTATTTTTATTTTTAATTTTCATTCATAAAAAAAATATTTAATCCGCAAGTCAGAAAAAAATTGAGATTACTTTTGTCTGAAGCTGCTTGTATGATTGATAAAATAATATATATTTTTAATTTATTCACCTGTAAAGTAGTGCAAACGATGAATTTAATAAAATTGTCTTCCTAGTGCTTAGCTAAATTATTTTTCATTTAAAAAAATTTAATATAAAAGCACTTAATTTGGATAGATATTAAAAGGAAATGAACAAATAAATGTTGTAATTTGGAAACATTGAAATTAATTATTTCATTTGAGGACCTTGGACGTATCTCTCAAAATATACTCCAAGTTTTTCAGCAGCAATTAATATATTAATTCTTCTCTGCGTGCATTGACTGACGGACGCTCTTTGAAATTGCGCAACATCCTGGGGGTCAGGTCGCATCTTGGTGAAACAATGCCAACATGAGGCTGCAATGCTTCAAGATGGAGCGGTCTGTTTGAGATTAGAATACGCATTCATGCGACGTCGGCAACATCATTTATTTTCAGTCACGTGTGTAGGCAAAGTGAAGCGATTTTATTGCTGTGTTGCGAACAAAACACTTCATGTAAGAAAAAAAATGCCGTAGAAATTGTGATCCGAGTGATATTGTACACATGTATAAAATACTCTGCTAACCGCAGCGAAATGAAAACGGAGCCAATTAGTAAATGTAAAAAATATTTCTCACATCAATTTCACACAAAAATAGTTTCAATTAGTACAAATAAATATTAATAATAATATAATAATATTAAGATTAACTTTTTTTCTTTTTTGTCAAAATGGCAACTGATTGAAACCGCTAAAAAAATTTTAATTTATTGATAAGAATTAAAACTCTACTCTCTCAGAGGTCAAGAGCGCACGCTGGTCGGTCAAAATGAATATTACAATAGTCTAGCCGGAGCAGACCATCGAGACCGAGGCCCCGCTAGGCGCGAGTTTTTTTTTCTCTCTCTCTCTCTCTCCTTGTTCCCCATGCTTATTTTTGATACTTAATTGAGTCTGAGGCAGGCACGCATGCCGCCGCACTCGGCGCAATCACAAAACTCCACCAAATCCCCTGGCTCAGCCCGTGTAATCCTTTCTTTCCAATAACGCCAGACGCTTGTTTGGACAATCCAAGACCGCACACACGCGCTCTCCTCCTTCTTCGCTGCATCCCCTCGGTATTATGAATTAATAAAGATTTTGATCGCCGAATGAAAACCGCCTCCATCATGTACACGCTACATTATTTACTATAATTTTTTTTAATCTGAGCCTTCGCGTTGCTCAATCTGAAGAACGGAACCTTATCTTAAATATAATTAATATGGTGTACGAAGCGCAAAAATAAATTTCATCAAACTTGAAAGAAAAATCTTAAATATAGATTTCCAGCTGCAGTGAGCTGCAGTCAGATTTATCAGTTATTTTGATTAATACATAAATTAATTAAATTGAGCATATATTCAAAATATACAGAATATTCTGTAAATAAATATTGCTGGTTGGGATAACTTACCAAATGCTAAGTTCGAAGAGATTTCACATGAGTCAAATAGGCAGGTTTGGCCTCTTCACCTACGATATTGGTGCCCTTCCAAGTCTCCCAGGACTCCGGCCCTGCTGCCTCGATGAACGCTTCCAGATGCAGGGAGGGTTTTCGCTTTCTTGTCCTTGCCTCAGTTGATCTTAAAGAAACTCTTAATAAAGTAATTGATTAACTAAGATGCATTTCATGCGTTGCTATAGAAATAAATATTAGAACCTTACTTACAATTAGGATGGTTCAATTAGCATTCAGGGTTGAGAGCCCAAGGAGGTGAATTAGTGGCCATCGAAAAGGTGGGTTGAGACAAAAGGTGGGTTGAGTTGCTGGCCCCCTGGCTGCAAGGGGTGGTTGGTGGCCCACTGAGTTGTAGGATCGACAATATTAAATGCAAAACCTGGAATTATAGTAAAAATGAAGTACACATAATTGCATATGATTATAGTTTAATTTCGGTACGTGTGTGAAATATTTGTTGCTGCCCGTTGCCACTTCTATCTCTGCATGACTTGTGTCTCGCATTGCCCACGTGCGTTTTATGCGCAATACTAGTGTAGTCAAATATTCATTTCATATTGCGCATCATCTTTTGAAAAATCGTCAATCTGCTGGAATATTTAAATTGATCTCGTCATTTAAAAGTTGATGATATTTATGAATCTACTTATTTCTAGGAGTTATGCCTAATTAATTTTGAAAGTGTTGCAGTTGTCTCAAGTGGCCTTGGTGCTTGGCGAGGATCGTTCCAAAAATTGTGATTTCGCGAGTCCCCTCTCCAACCTCTTTCCACACGCGCTCATGCCGACGGGAGAAATCCTCCAATCAAATCGATTCCCTCCTTAAAAACTTGCTCTAATTGGCTGTTTTCGCTACTTCCTGCGCTTCTCCTGCTTCCTGTCCTTCTTCATCCAGTCTTTTACGTGTGCCGTCTCCATTTTACGTAATTTACGTCATATCGCAGAAATCCACGCTTGGTAGAGGCGTCTCTCCATTTTCTCGTTTCTCTTCACTGCAAATTCAGCCTATTATTTCAGATTTTGAGCCGCGTTTTTTCTCCATACGAACGCATTTGATATCCAACTCCCAGATTTTCGACAATTCGGCGACCTGAGACTTCGGCTTTTAGTCAGTTTTTGTAAGAATTTTAGTCTCACAGCAAATATCCAAGATGTCCGGCTTGTCCGCTACAGAGAGACTACAAAAACTGTTTGAAGTCATCGAGAGCAACACCGACGACGCAGATGATGCCTTCACCTTGCATGTGCATGAATTGAGTGCTCAATTGGATTTGGAGGTGTGTATTTATTGTGAATTGATTTACTTCTTATTTGCGTAATTTGCGATAAACCTTGCTCGAGTGTCCTCGATTTTAAAGACACGTGGCACGTTTGCACGTGTGCATCGATCTTCTAAACTTTGAAATTGTTCTCAGTTGAATTATGGTTTCATATGGCAATGAGAATAAGACTATGGACATACATTTTATTTTGAAGAAAAGTCGTGTTCATATTTAAAGGTGTAAGTCCTAACATTTTAAGGATTTTGACATTAAAACGACATTTGGCATTAATATGTATATTAAGATCACCTCTACATGTAATCTAAATTATTTGTGAATTACATACTTACTCTGGATTAACATTTTTGCGTCTTGAGATTTTCACATTTTCCAATTTAAAATAAAATCTACCCGAAATATTTATCTTAAAAATGAAAATAAAAAACCATATGCATGGTCTACTTTACGTTTATTGAGAAAATTGCTAGAGCCTTCTTGCATTTATATCAATAAGGAGCCCTTAATGCTGCTCCAAAATTATGCACATTTCAATATTTTTTGTGTCAATCTCATCGGACAACAGCAGTCAATGAGAAATCATAGTATCCACAGAGTTTTAATTGTAATTTTTGTCAATGTGTGGTGTCTAAATTCTGTTGCGATATAACATGCTCATGATTCTAATTATTCTTCTGGTTTTCTTCTTTCATTGTAATTTATGAATATGTTTCACGCAGTTTGATGTTTTCTCTTTTAGCTAACGTCGTCCTTCAGCCAGAGCTCAAGCACTCCTTCTCAAAATTTGCAGCCAAATGAAAGCAATGCACTTTCCTGTGACCCCATGGTAATAATAACTGCAATTTTTTACACTATAATTTATTTCCCCTATAATTGTACCAATTTTTATCTAGAGCAACCAGAGTTTAGTGATCCTTGATCATCCACCAGCTAAAATCCTGCAGTCGATGCCTGCAAATGATGAAATATTTACTCTGATGCCCAAATCTGTGGCTGAATTGATCAAGGAAAATAATGCTTTGCTCAAAGAGCTCTTGATCCAGAAGATTAAAGAACTACAGAACTTAAATAAAGCGGTAATGGTCAGCAAGAATTTGAATGCTAGCTATGATGCCGTTATTTCTGCCAAAGAAGAAAAAATTGTTGCTTTGAGTAAGGATAAATTTAAATATTCTTAGTCCGTTGCGGTAGATTTTGAACTTCTTATATTATGAACTCAAATTGCAGTGAAGGAATTGGAGGAAAGTCGATCAAACGAAATGCTCCTTAAAACTCTTCTGACTTTTGCTGAAAAGTTGAAACAAAATGGTGAGTTTATTGTAATGAAATATATAACCGCATTCCTTTCTGTCCATCATATCTTGAATTATTTTTTAACTTTTTGTGCAGGATTGCTCTCAAGCTTCTACATAAACAAGCTTTCAACTTGGAAGGAATATCTGGGTGAAAATGAAGATGGTAAGTCTCTCCATTTTTATTGCTTCCCAGGCTAAATTATCAAGCTACTATAGTTAACTTACAAATCAATGTGTTTTAAATAACAAATTTCTATTTATGAAAGCATTATTTAAATGTAATAAAATCACCTTTTTCTGAATGGCTATTTAAGCATGAAAACATTAAAAATTCTGCTTTATATTTTTGCAGATAATCAAAATTCATTTGATGTTGAAGAAGAAGAAGAATTGCCCCCTGTCGAGGATGCCACCACTGAACCACCAGAAGTAGTGGAGCAGCAAGTTACCTCTGAGGTGCAGATGAAGGATACTGGATGTGATGGAAATCTAGTTGAGACACCTGAAGCTGCACCTATTCTTACTGTCAAAACTTTAAAGGATTTCATGAATCTGCCTGTCTCTGAAAATGACGGCAAAGATATGGAGGTTCCTCCGATCTTGTATGATGAGGCAGTTGCCATAGAGAAGAATGAGTCCAAAATGTTGGACACAAACAGTATTCACACTGAAGAGCAGGAAATTGCTTCTAGTTATTCTTCGAAGGATCAGGATGATGACCGTGCTGACCAAGAGGGATATATGCGTAATGAGGAGCAGGTGGAAGCAGCTGAAAATGCTGAGGAGGCAGTGGACGAGGAAAATCTGTCGTCTGAGGGCAGCTTGCTTGAAAGTTACAGTTCTATGAATGACAGTGAGATTGTCTATGAAAGATCTACAGACCATGATGATTCCGGCGAAGCCATTACTGATGAGGTTGAGCAGGGAAATCTGGCTGACGGAGACGAAGTTAAAGACAAGCAAAGTGATGAAGGTAATGAGCTCAAGGCCTCAAATCGGTCTTTTAATAAGTTTGTAATAGATGAGGAGGCCACAGTCGGAGAACTCCAAAGCCATTCTATTGCTGATGAGGATGCCCCTGCTGAAGTCTGCAAAGAGAATACCCCTGTGAATGGCTCTAAAATTGAGGTCTCTGTCGATATGCCTCAAGTGGAGGCCCCTATCAAGAACTTGATAAAGGAGGCTGCTACCAAAGACCTTGTCAATGAGGCCCCTGTCTTTGAGAAGGTAACCCCTGTTCAAGATGAAGATATGGAGACCGATGCTGATCATGAACAGCAGCAATTGGAAATGCAGGCCAATGTTGATCAAATGGATGCTGATGAAAGCTCTGAAGCGTCCGAAGAATCTGAGAAAATCCAGGTGGATGAAGAAATTCTTGAGCAAGGAGAGGGAGACAAAACTGAACTTGCTGTTGCTACTCAAGGAGAGAGTGCAAACCTGCAGGGAAAACCTGTTGATGATTTAGCTGAGCGTGACCCTGAAATTGCTCAAGGACCAACTGATGGCACTGTAAGCTCTCGGCCTGAAAAAGACATTGAGGAAGAGAAAAGAGAGCTGAGAAGTGGCAGGAATGCCTCTCAGAAGCGCATGGAGTTTCAAAATGTCTATTTGGAGGAGAACGATGCCAATGATTATGAAACCTTTGATAATCCTCCGACTAAGAAGAGGTCACATGGACGCACGAATGAGAAGGTATCATCTAGCCAAAGATCCCAGAAGAAGAAGGCTGTTGAGAAAGCGGCAGATGGGGTACACAATCGGAAGGTTTATTTATTTTTGTAAATTAATTCACTCCAAATTTTTTAATTTAGCATGAAAAGGTTGGACTGAAGGCAAACCAATATGAAGTGGGTGCAGAATCAAAACTGACACAATCAAAAGTGCGCAAGGCCAATAATGTCACTTGGAAGGAAGGAGAACCTGAGAGGTTGGAGGAGAACATGTCTGTGGAAGCTCAGGTGCCACAGGAAAAGAAGAGAAAGCGCACTGATGGCTCGTTGGTGAAGAGCTCCAAGAAGAGGAGGAATAATGATGGCTCGATGGTGAAGAGCCCCAAGAAGAGGATGAGTGATGATGGCTCGACGGTGAAGAGCCCCAAGAAGAGGAGGATTGGTGATGGCTTGATGGTGAAGAGCCCCAAGAAGAGGAGGAGTGGTGATGGCTTGATGGTGAAGAGCCCTAAGAAGAATCTGAAGAGACTATCTGTGTCCCCAGAAAAACAGGTGCCTGCTGGGATTATGACGTTATCTCCTTTGAAAGGGCCTCAAAATCAGACCACGAGTATGTTCGCTGCGCTACTTGCTCCAGAGACAGAAACTTGCGATTTCAACCAGGCCATTCAATTAAACAAACTTGTGAAAGATTGCCAAGAGGAAGAGCAGGAAGAAGATAATGCTGATGATTCTGCCACTATGAGCAAGAAACTGTTTGGCTCTGACAGCAGTCCTGGTGAATCTGATGATGAAATTCCTGTTGTGAGTTTTTCTAATTATTTATTTAATTTTGAGATGAAACCAAATTTAATATTAGGTTGAGCCACCAATAAAGGAGAAGAAGAAAAGACAACAAGGAAAGAAGCCATCCAAGCTTCAGCAGCTGAAGGCTAACATGTCCAAAGCCAACCCTCTTCTTCAGAAAAAGCGTAATAAGTAGACAGAAGGCCCTATGATTTATACAAGCCTGAGCAATAGATTAAAAAGTTCTTAGATCATCGTCACTCAATTACCTTGTAAAATTCTGTTTTTTTTTTATGTTGCTTTACGCAAAATGATTCTACCAAATTGTTTCAACAATGGCCAAGTATATTATTTATGTAACAAGATTTAGTATTGGAGTGATGAGCAAAACCACTCATAATTACCAAAAGATTGCCAGGCTTAATTTTTAGTTTTTCACAAGAGGTACGTTGCTGTAACCTATATTTTTAAATCTAAAAAACAGTGTGTGAGGCACTTTTATGTTAAAAAAAATTCTAGGTAAATTTGTCTTGAATCAGAAGACTACAAAAATTCAGATAATGTTTAAAATTCTATAAAATTGATGCAAATTGGTTACAAACATTTTTGAGTTCTTAAATTGGTGGCGGCATATGGATTTATTGACGAAGAATGAAGAAAAAACAAGCATTTTGTATGTAATTCAATTGTAATTTTCTTACTTAAAATTAATAAATGTATTTATTCATCGACATGGGCGTATAATTACATTTTTGATTAATTTTTTTCTTTTTAATATTCCGTTCCAATCATTTCAACTAATAGGCTTTTTGTTGCCAAATAATAATACACATCTTTCTCCCATAGTATCTGCATACACAGATCTTGGCAGTATCGAAGTGACGAGCGCTATGTTGAAAAATTATTTTTAATTACTTTATGTTAATTATTTGTCTTATGTGTCCAAATCTTACATCACGTTTGCATTCAGTTAAAAGTTTTTTTTACTGATTATTGATTCAAGCAGAAAAAATTTAAAAAATAGTTATCTGCGTCAAAAAATTTACGAAAATAATTTAAATACTCCAAAATTCTGTTAGTGAGCGTTGTGTGTTTCTGTACTAATTATTGTATAGAATAGTGTCTCTCTTTAATTTGTTAAGTAACTTTTTCATATCAAAATAGTTCAAAAATTTAAGTAAAGATAAAAATTGAAGGGAATCAAAAAATGACCTGGCTACTATAGCAAAAAATGAGTAAGTTGTGCATATTATGCAATATTAATTGTATTTGAAGAAAATAAAATCATTTGCCACTTTTCTCATTATTCTACTTCAATAAAGACCAGTAAATAACAGCGACTCATACCTGTATGCAAAACATTGCATCAGTGGAGGAGCATTTTTTATTATTACGTCAGCTCGGAGCAAATAAATACCTCAGCACATGCATTATATGAGCGGCGGGGCTTTATTAAGAATTAACTGAGAAGAAGACTCTGTGTGTGCAGTGCATCTCTCGGAATTCGAGGGGCGACCCACGCACGACATAAGTGCACTCTTCTTATTTAAGCGCCATCACTCTTACTTTAAAGCCTCGCGTTTCTTAACAAGGCATGCATAGGATTTCTCATGAACGAACACACTTTGTGACACAAAATCAGTCGCTGCGGGAAGATGGGAGGGAGGTGCACCACGATTACTTAACCCTGCGCGACCCGTGATGATTGATACACAAATTTATGCTCGTCTTTATGTGCTGGGGAGAATATTGTGTATCTCCGCGAGCCCTTTTAGTGACGTCACTTTTGGCGAGCGTTATACTGGTCTCTGCTCTTATCATCATATATATTTTATTCTTTGAAATGCTGAGGGATGTCACGATAGAGCGGCTGCGGTACTGCAAAAATTAAAATCAAATTTTAAATACTTATGAAGTGTGGTAATATCCTAATTACATTATTTTCTTGCTCTATTAAAATGATTAATTTTTTCTCATTAATATTCGATATATGTATAAAATAAATAATGTAATGCAAAATTACAATTAAAATAATTCCTTATTTTACGATCAATCAGAGAGGAGCTCACAATATATGTGAAGAAGAAACTGGTGACAAAAACGTTTAATTTTGTGACATTTTTCATCCCAGTTTTTCACAATATGACATTCAAGACTCCAAGACAATCCAGCGAGCGAGCAAAATGCAGATACTTTCATTTTCAGTACCCTCAAGTTACAAACAGGTAGATAGTCAACCTGGTAGGCAAGCATCGCGGGATTTTTGAGGTCGCTATTAAAATGACCTGTATGTAGGTCAAACGGCATGTTCAAGTCACATTGCACTGACATCACTATCCACTTGGCCAGCAACGAAAGTGGGAAGCACTTCCTCTTCAGAATTTTGGGGATATAAAACGACTGAGAAGTTTTTTATAGTAAAATCTTAATAAACACTTTGATGAAAAAAATTGACACTAATGAAAGAAAAGAATTTCACCTCATATATTCAATGTGAACAAGTTTGTTTTAATTAAAAAAAAATCATTTGAATATAGAAATTTAATTTTAATTATAATAAATTTTCAACTTATTGTAATATCAATCATTCCTATCATGATCAGAAGATTAATAGAGTGATGTGATTAATTACAATTAGAGGAAGTCTCAGACTATAAGATATTACAAACCACACTAGCTTTTTGCCAAGAGAGAGGCGCGCCGCAGTCTTTGTATTTATCGCTGGACTTTTCTTTTCCCATCACATAACGACATAACCGCCGTCGGTGGCGGCAGAAACACGCCAGCGTCACAGAGGCAAACGGAATAATTATTAGAACACAAAGTGAAAATATTGGAAATGCACAGAGAATCACGCTCTGCACTTTTCGTTCCAACAAACAAACGAAAACGCCGCGCACTGATATTTGTCTGCAGTCAACACCGCGCTGGCGAAAACGAATTATTTTATATGAATTCTGCTCATATCATGTGATGCTGAGGTGAAAATAAATAAATGTGAGGACGTGCGGCTTCTCTCTCTCTTTGTACCTCCAACTCCAGTGCGCGCATTGTGAATTTTAATTTCAAAACCCTAAACCATTCTTAATGCAGATTTCTGCATTGTTTTGCGGCGATTTTTATTGAACAGTAAGATTTTTTATGAAAAAGGCAAAAGCAAATAATTTTATTTCTAGAAATGCGTCTTAATATAAAAATATTAAGTACCTTTGCTATTTATCGATGTCAAAATTTTGCCACTAATTTTCTTTGCTATATATTCAATAAATACCAATCACTCGCTTACATCACAGTAAGAAGCACTTTCGATGCAATTTAATTTAAAAAGACATGAGTGCAGAAAGGGCAGACGGAAATTAGCAATCATAAATGGCGCATCACTTGAGGCAACGTGGAAATGCATCTCCTTTCAATTCCCTCCCGCAATATAATTCAATTCCGATCCGTCGCAGGCAGCACAATGAGAGTGAAGTGCTTTTTGCACTTCTTGTGCAGCGCGATATTAAAAATAAAATATAATTATATGATAGAAAATGGTGTTATTGGCCGAGATACAGAGAGCCGGAAAATTGAATCGGCGGCGGGTCCTTGTGGATTTTACACGAGTAAGCAGGGTGGGTGGGTGGGTGACAATCTTGGCCGACTTCTCGCAGCCCAATCTCTAGAGGAAAAGCGGAGAAAGACGGCGGAGCTCATTTCCAATTAATAGCACAGCTCTTTCAGTTTATGTGGCGAGCAAACAGAGCAGCGAGCCGATAGATTGAACCTTTCTGCGCTCTCAATTTTTTCCATTTCCCGGACCAAAACCTACAGCGCTGCTTTTGCTTCGGTGTCTGCAGAAAATAAGTAAAGCCAGCACAGTTTGTTTGCTTCATCAATTGGCAACTTTTGTCAACAATGTGTGCTGCGCTATCTCGCTATATGTGCATTAAAGGTATACACAATCCCAAAATGAAATCGCCATTTACACTTCCTGGGATGAATTATTGATTAACGGTGGAAATTCATGGATGGCCCTAATAAAAAAAAAACGTTGTCATTTTTTGTAAACCAAGAAGATAGAAACCTTTTGGACTATTTAGACAGACACGACAGTACTTTACCAAATTTAAATTAATTTTTTATTTCAATAATGTAAATTAACGCTATAACTTTATTAATGTATTGTTCAGGCGCAACTAAGAACATTAATCGAACGCGCTGGGCAAACCGAGTCAATATTAAAAGTTGTATTCTTGGTGAAAATCATGAATCTAATTATTTTCATTTAACAGCTTAGCTATATCTTTATTTAATTTTATTGTTCCAGCCAATTAAATAACTTTAATCGAACGCTCAGTCCAACATACAAAAAAAATCATTGAATTTATATCTCCTCGATAGTTGCTCCATATATAGTTAAAAAATACACTTTTTACGAACATAATTGTTTGGAAACCCCCTCTCTGAAACTAATCTTATAGAGGGGAGCTCATAAATATGAGCAAATCTGTCAGAGTGGACAAGGGAAAAATAATCTTTATCACCTCCAACAGCGTTAGCACTAGTCTCTATTTTTCTCTTCTGCACCAAAAGCTTTTCAGAGATCTAGGATGATCCATATCTCGTCCATTTCTTATATTATCCTTCACCGCCCCTATCGCAACAGCAACTGGATATGCAGTAATTATTTACTACTTACACAACAGACACGGGGGCACCGCACCACCATTATTCGGAATGAGGTGAGAGTGCCAATATCTATTTCGTAGAAAAGCAGTGTATAACGCTATAACGGGAAGAAAATAAATAATGCCACTCATTATCAGTTAGTTTATTTAAAAATTATATAATTAAATTTCTACTGTTTAACAAATAGCGTTGCTATGAAATATAATTTGAATTTTGTGTTTGAAGAACTCCAAATTTTTTAAATTTATTAATAGGTTTCAGTTTCTTCAATGATAATACTTCATATTCCTTGTAAAAATTGTTTTTAATAAAAAAAAAAAAGAAGAAGAAGAAAACGGCTCTACCAGTTTCGGTTGCAGTCTGCGACCCTATTTCATAAGCAAGAAAAATTGAAAAACCACATTTATAAAGCGATTGTTCATAAAATGGTTTGGTAGTTAAATTTGTTAGTTTTGAGATTTTGAACTTTGTCGTATAAATGTAGTTTTTCGTATTGGCTGATTTTTTGTATTTTTCTTGCTCATGAAATAGGGTCACAAACCGTAACCAAATCACTTCACTCCCATGATCATCTCTTCGAGTCCTCGAGTGAGTCGAGTCTCAATTTTTTATTTCATTTCATCAAATAAATGCAGATCTTTTTTAGTCTTGTTATAATTTAATATTTTATAATAACCACAGACAAGAACATATAAATTGTGCTGTCAAATGATAGAGATAAAATTGAAATTATTAGGGGTGAAATGATGGTGAAAAATGGCACTCAATTGTATTAAGTGTTATTTGTTGCTTTAGGAGGAAACAAACATACAATTTATAGTTCCTCCACAAATTCATCCGCAAAGCTCACTGCGTCTCGGCATTACTGATGAAAAATGCACCCACGTCCTGTTGCGCTATGGAACATTGAAAAATGACCCAGGCGTCCAAAAAAAAAGTGCCTCTCATATTGGATGTATAAATAATACCGCGACAATCGCTATATAGAAATGCTTCGGGCAGGCAGGGAGAAATGCGCGCATCATTTTGGTGCGGGAGGGTCACTAAACGCATCGAGCACAAAACGCATCGAGTGATTCACCCCCGAGAAGGAAAAACCTAGTTTTGGCCCCATTATTAAGAGAACCTCCCCCTCGATCGTGTATAATCACAACCACCCTCAACACTGCAGCGCGCCTCCGACAATAAATAAAATCCAGCGTGAATAAACAACAATAACGTTTCAATTCCATCGCTTTTATTACTACGTTGAGTCACCGAACTTTGCCAATGAAACTGCGCTGGACCTCGACAATTTTTACAAAATAAATATATTATTGGAATTTTTGGAAACCTTTTTTTAAGCTATGGGCTTACTATAATTTGCAATATCCACTTATATTTGAAATTTCTTATAAAATACAAACTATAATAACAATGAAGTTCAAATTTAAGTTTTATTTTATTTGATAGGGCAGTCTTGTCGAACTATGAAGTGTAGATAGACGAACCACCCAATTTATTATATATGTTTTAATTTATTTATTTCTGTTCAACTTGATTTAAATATCCTTATTTTCTACGGAATTTCCTTAATTGGTGGTCCGAGCGATGATGACGATCTGTTTGAAGAATTTAAGGCGTATTTTTGCGCTCGCAAATTACTTCTTACGCTTAAATCACCAAATTTTTAAATCAATTACAGTATGTCAAAACAATTTTTGATTTAAAAGAGCTTACAAAATTATAAGGTCAAATATAATCACTGAAGATAAATTTTTGGCTTTATTTCCTTCCCTTATTTTAAAACACAGAGATTTATGATTGTTTAATTTAAATATCAATTGAAATAGTTTCCTAATAAAATAAAATTATAATTATACTGATTTATAATTTATCCGGAGACGTTACAATGTGAAAAATTACAATTAGAAAAAGTAATTATTTTTTCGCATTTTCTTGGAAAATGTTCTGCGATTGATGGCACACAAAATGCAAAAGGAAAGATGTTGTTATGCCGGTAGCCGAGGGCGAGCTCCTCACTCGCTCCTCGGCATTTGCATTATTTTACTAGAATTTCCCTTCGGTGACGATGGTGTGTCGTGCGCCCAGAATGTATATGAGGAGCGTCATGGAGCCTCCCGAGCCTAAAGTACTTGCGGTGAATACCAATGAATGGTGTGCAGACACAGCAATAATAATGGCCTCGTGCAATCACTCACGCAGCGCAGCACGCCGACTTTAAGCACATGCAAATTTCATGCAAAATTTCCACCCTAAAAAGTATGATACATTGCGCCGGGGGTTTGAGAATTTTTATTATGGACATGATTTCTAAGACCTGTCATTGATTGATCGGCAATTTATTTCGCTCCATTCAAAAATATAAACCTAAAAAAATTGGGGAAATAAATTAAAAAATTTAATTTAGTAAATTCAAATATACTTTCGGAAAATAAGTATAAAATATTTCAAAATCTGACTGTTAATTAATACATTTTTTATTAAAGAAAGAATTTACAATGTGCTCTATAATTTAACAGTTTTGTTGCTTTCTTTCCTTTTTTTGCTGCACTTTATTTATTTAAATGTTGAGAAAAATGAAAAACATGCAAAATGATGATAATATAATTTTTCATTTCCCAGTTCCCAGCGATGATCTCCTTTTCATTGCGAATTACAGTAATTTTCAGTAATAGAAATACCAGCCTTTCATGCCACCTAGTGGACTAATCACGAACTATCTGAACAGAAGCAATGGGAAACCATAGCTGTGACGTCACATAATTTGATGACTGAGGGCGGGTATATTTCCAACGCCGCAACTATATGCGGAGCTAACTTCACTTACATTGCGGCATGATCGATGATCTCAAGATGATTTCAAGAAGAAATACAGAGCGTGCGAAGAGCAAGATTTTATTTATACACAATTATTAAATATTTTTTCTGCCCGTGCAATTGCAATTTGTAAAAGAGTTGAAGTAATACTAGTTTGCCGCACAATTATTCTACGAACATCTGAACATAATTTGTCCGCAAAAGTTATTAAGTATGTATGTAAATAAATCTCTTACATCTTACATAACAAAACAACTCTCGTAATTTCAAGACACTGCTTTTGCTGTCTGGAAAATACATAATTATATGATATGTTTGTATTCAATAATATTCAGATATTATTGAAACTCAAGCTTTTAAACATTTTTTGTATAGATTTTTCTTCTAATTTTGCAGACGCAGCTGATTTTCATTGATGGCAGCCTATAGGAGGTTTCTAAACCTGTTGAAGAAGTGGCCTTTGGACGAGACAAAGGGGGACAAGTATGTTTTCAAAATATTTTTCAATTTTGTCTAACCTTTTTCATTACTGCAGGGACTTGGGCCTGTTCCTCCGCAAACTGCTGCAAGAGCAGTTCCCACAAGGAGAGGGTTCGAAGGTGACTGAAGCTGTCTGGGCCAAGAAGTTGGACGGCTTGGACAAGATTGTTCAAAACAAGCACAGCTCAGAGCACCCTCTGCCCAGTAATTTTATGTCCGCGACTGGTTTGAGCGCTGAAGAGTGCAACAGAGCCTTATCAAGAGAATTTTTAAAAACTCTTGCAACGGAAAACAACAAGGGCTTTTTTGCTAGAGTTTTGCTGAAAGAAGAAAAATAAAACAAAATGCTAAGGACGTGCAGTAGACGAGTTATTAGCCGGTTGTTCTCAATCTCCCAGTCTGCTGCCCTTGCTGAGGAGACTCCACCCCATGTTCCAGTCATGGTTGACCTTGTTGCCGAACACCTTCAGTTGTCCGAAGGCAAAACTATCGTGGACATGACCTTTGGTGCTGGTGGCCACACCAAAAAGTATGTACAAAAATTCTCTTCACTCTGAAAAAATTCTTACTTTTTATTCTAGAATGTTCGAGGTGTGTCCTGAGGTGAAGGTCATTGCCCTGGATAGAGACCCGGTGGCTTTTGAATATGCCCAAAACCTGGCTGCAGATCATCCACTTAATCTTACCCCTCTTTTGGGAAAATTCAGCGAGTTGCCGATACTTCTTAATGGTTTGGACATTAGTCCTGGAAGTCTAGATGGAATGTTGCTCGACCTTGGTTGCTCTTCTATGCAGATGAACCACGGCCACCGAGGATTTTCTATCAGCAGGGAGGGACCTCTGGATATGCGGATGGACAGCAGTCCTAAAAATCCAGATCCAACGGTGGCAGAGGTTTTGGCTCACATTGAGGAAGACGAACTTGCAAAGACTTTAAAGGTATAATTTTTGCAAGAAGTAAAATTTAAATTTTTAATTTTTTTAAATTAGATCTATGGTGAAGAGAGACAAGCCAAGAAAATAGCCCGGGCTGTTGTGGAAGCTCGTTACGCTGGAATTTACATGCGAACAACCAAGGAACTCAGCGAGCTGGTGGCCGAGGTCTGTGGCATCGATCATCGGCAGGACAAACTTCAGCGACATGCACACTCGGCAACTAAAGTTTTCCAAGCCCTGCGCATCCTGGTCAACAATGAACTCAACGAGATCAACTACGCTATGCTTTTGGCCAGCCGCTACCTGAAAAAGGGTGGCCGCCTATTGGTGCTGACTTTCCATTCGCTCGAGGACAAAATTGTTAAGCGGCACTTGTTCGGACATGTATCTGGATTTGCAGCCAATGTAGAAGCACCCAAGTATTCTTTGGACATGCAAGAACCTAACACTTGTTGGCACCAGCTCCACAAGCACGTCATTATACCCTCAGACGATGAGGTTTACGAAAACCCCAGGAGTCGATCGGCTAAATTAAGAGTAGCTGAGAAAGTGAAGTAAATTTATAAATCAACTTGCTGTGTACGTCTGTTGAGGCAATAAATTGTTAATTTATAAAAACCTTAGTCAAAGGAAAGATAAAACAAAGAAGTAGAAAAAAATATATATATTTTATTTTTATAAATTTACATAAGTCTAAGAAATAATTATCTTAATTGGTTTATATACAGAAACTACCTCTTAAAATTATATTGGGCGTTACCAATTTTTTTTACGAAGCTTTTTTTTATTTCCAATTAAATTATCAAGAGAATGTTAAGGAGGTCAAGGGGATCCAGGGGTACGTGTAGAATCAATTTTAACCGCGGTTCTAATTGTGGCCGCGCCCCTTCGCCTCCCATGTGACCGTCCAAATTATGACTCAATCCATAACAACACAAGGAAGAAGTGGCAGTGCGGAGAATATTAAAACGTTCACACATATTATAGAATACATAGAGCTCATGAAGACTTTAATCGATAGCACCACTTAATGCACTGCACTCGATGTTTGTGCTGCTAGGACAGTGAATAAATTGCTGCTGCGTAGGTAGGTTTGTGCCATTTCTGTACCCGTGAGTGTGTGAGCTGAGCACCAATCCTCCCTTTTTTGGTAATTTGCAAAGTGTTTGTGTGCTGACTCGAGTGTGTTTTTTGTTATCTCGTATATATTTTTGTATAATTACCGCATTTCATGACGCACTGCTTACTTTCAGGTTCCCTGCGGCGCACACACGCAAACAAGCACCAGCTTTTTTACCATGTAGCCTTACAAAATAGCAACGTTAAAAGACAATATTTTGCCACTATATTGAATTTGTGCGCTGATAATGCCACTTTTCTTTAACAAGAAAAAGACAGCAGATGATGGCATCGACTACAAAGCTCGTCTCGAGAAGAAATTGTATTTGGTATGTGCTAGAAAAATCAATAAAAACTAATCGACTAATTTTGCGCAATTTTCGCTGCAGGCAAAAGAAGACCCTGAGCCTGTTTTCGATTTATCCGAGTGCAATTTGAAGAGTGTGACGTCAGGTACATTTGTGCTTTGCAAAGTGCTCCGAAAAACTTCCCTAATCTTAAGAGTGAGTAAAATTAACGCAAATTCTTTGTGTGAAAATTGTCCCGCAATTTTGCACTTATTACGCATTACACTTTTTCTTCTAGAATAATCAGTTGACTAGTCTCAGTGGTGGCGGCGCATTGTCTGACCTCGCTCTTCTTGAGGTGCTTGACCTGAGCCACAATAAACTGAAATGTCTACCTGAAGATATCACATACCTGGGAAACTTGAAGGTATATTCAATTCATGAAATTATGTAATCATAAAATCTAAATTTTTGTCTTCCAGATTCTAAACGTATCTCATAACAAATTAGAGAAGTTGCCCCAGTCTCTTGTCCACTTAGTGAAGTTGCAGGACCTTGATCTGTCCAACAACTGCCTTTCTCATGTGCCTGACTTTGTCGATAAACTGCCAGCTTTGCAGCATCTTGATGTCAGTTCCAATCCTGTTAAAAGTTATCAACCCTCAAAAGACAAAACAGTCTTGTTAGACAAAGGTCAGTTTCAAGCAATATTAACTGTATTAAAACTAATATTTATTTCTGATGGCAGCTGATAAAATAGAAAAAGTTTGTGTACAACCATTAGAAGCAATGAAAAGACAAAAAGTGCCAAAGACAGAAGAAGAAGAGGAGTAATAATTTTATCAAGTGAATTAAAAAATACTAATTTAGTAATTAATTTTAGAACGGAGTCGATCAAGATGCAAAAATTGCTGGACATGCGCCAGAGGCAGCAACGAGAATTGCTGCAACGTCTGAGTACCTTTGACAAGGATCAGCAGGCTACCTTGGAGAAGGTGCTGGAAAGACAGCGGGAACTCCACGAGACCGTCCGCACAGTTGCACAAATAGAGGAAGCGGAAATGAAAAAGGTGGCCTCGTTGAAAGCACAGGGGGACGCTCGAAACTCAAAGTTAGCCGAGGATATAATTCTCGGAGAACGCCTTGAAAAGTCGGTGTTGGAAAGGCTTTTGCAGCAGGAGGAAGAGCGGAACAGAACGTTGGCAAAGGCTCTTGCCAGGGAAGAGGAAGCTGAGAGGGTCAGGCTGGCAAACCTCTTGAGCTCGGTGTTGGAGCGAAATGCACCACTGATGGCGCTGGTTCTGGATGATCAGTCGTTGCAGAAGTCAATTTTGAGTGCCCTGAGGCAGAGAACGCAAACCCAAGAACAGAATCTGTCTTCCTGTGTGGTGGACGAGTTCAGACTGCAGCAAGCAGCCCTGATGGCTCTCAAAGAAAAGGGCGACTCCAAGGCCAGGCAAATTTGTGAAGAAATGGCCCTAGTTCAAAAGGAGCTTGGCTTTCTTTCCATGTTAGAGATTAAAAAGAAAAAGGAGGAAAGTGAAGAGACACTGGTAATATTTTTATTTTAATTTTAGTCGCAGATTAAAAGAAACATTAAAATTTGTAATTTCAGGGAGAAATCGCATACCAACGATCAAAACTATCAGCGGCTCTTGCTGAACTTCTTCAACAGCAGCAAAAAAGACGAAACGAGTTGATCGACGAGCTATCACATCAATATGATGGCATGGACGAGAAACTTTGGATGATTCAATTGGAAAAGCTTCTCCTAAGTGTGCCTGAATATATAGATGTGCAAGTGAAGCAGAAAGAAAAAGCAAAAAAGCAGCTTTCTCCTACTGCTTCTCCATCAGCGCCTCGAACGGAGGAAATAGCACAAAATCCTTCTGCACCAGATCTTGAAGAATGTGTTGTTTGCATGGATAAACAAGTAAATTATTTGCTTAATCATAATGGTATTGAAATTGATTTCATGATCTTTTTAGTGCGAAGAAGTGTTTTTGCCCTGTGGTCACATCTGCGCCTGTGGTTCTTGCACAGCATTGCTCACCAAGTGTCCCCTCTGCAGGGCAGATATCATCCAACATTTGACCCTTTCTTGGTCGCACAGTTTGTGAATATCAAGTTTATACTCGGCAATTAAAGTATAACCCTGTTTGAAACTAATCTCCATGAAAATTATCATCAAAAAGCTTTTCTGCTGCCAATTATACTCAAAGTACACACACTCTTTAAGTAAATAAATAGCCTTTTTATATTCATTCTGTGATTCTAATAAAGTCCACAAGTTCCAATTATTGAAATTAATAATTTTATTAAATGCAAAGTATTCTGCCCAGCAGTTCGAACAATGGAAGGAATGAATAATTATGGATGAAATTTTATAGAAGTGAGATAAGAATATTAGTAAACGGTTAATCTTAACCTATACTTAATAATTATAACCATTCACTTCATCATGCAAGTCTTCTTTGGGTATGTTTTCCACTCAGTTATCACCGTCATCTGCCAAGTCGATGATTTCTTCATCGGCTTGCTCTGATTCTTTAGAGACGGCTGCCTCTTTGTTGGCGTCACTCTTCCTCTGCTGCTTTCTCTGCTCAGACGCAACCTTTTTATCTTTCACAGTCTTCTGGAATTCTATAAAAATTCAATAAAACAGTAATGTTTTGGTATTTGACAAAACAATAATTATTTTTACCATTCAGAGCTTCTTTCAAAGGTTCTTCGAAATGAGAAAAGTCAGTTTCATCAAGAGCCTTGAAGACGTCCTGGCCTCTGATGGTACTTCTCTTGTCCTTGTTGGCCAACATGTTAGCTGAAGAGGTGAGGTAGAGGACGAAGACCGACGCAGACCTTGCTAGGGCCACTCGAGCTTCCTTCGACAAATTCACTCCATCTGGAAGGGCTTCCTTGACGAGGCGGGTCACGACGGACAGTGGAAGGTTGAGGTCTTCAGGTCTTTCAGCCATTTTTTTAGGTAAATTTCTGGGGAATAAATTAAAGCTTTTATAATTGCTAATGTGATCGAACTCGAATTGAAGATGGGAAACGAAAACACTCAATTTATGCACAATTTAACTACTTTTTTCAATAGCAAATTTATGCAATCATAATAAAAATTCAAAATAATTCAGGAATATCAGATTAAAATTAATTTTAATTACGACTTTGCAGGAAAATCTCACCTTTTTCCCGGCGTCGGCGGCAAAACAAACAAGAGCCAGCTGAGAATTCGCGGTTCCCCCACCACACGGGCGCGCTGCGACGACAACAAGAGGCCCAAGGGCGCACCTGGCGGGCGTCGTCCGCAACTAAATAATCGACTGGAGACGGGCCATGATGGAGGACTGTTAGCTGGGCCGTCGGCTGGCGTTGAGAATCGCGGCGAATTGCGTGGCGCAAATTGCGAGTTGTGCTTCGGGGCCCGTGCGGGGCCTCCGGCTGCGATGCGGGCCTGCTGACCTCTCGTGACCCGCACCATGGGCGCGCAGCAAACCAAGGAGAGGATGGTGGCCACCGCCGGACTCACCGTGGGCCGGGCCACCAGAAACAAGCCCCGGGTCCCCAAGGACGCCCGGCAGCAGGGCTCCAACATCTTCACCGAGCACAGCGGTAAGTCCCTTCGAAGCCCACCGACCCCGAGAAGCCCCCGACCCAAAAGAATTCCGAAAAACCCAGGGCAACCCACTGAAAGGGGCCTTCGTGTTGTTCGAACAAGGCGTCTTGGGCGCCTCCGTGGGGTCTTTCAGCGCCACAGGGGCCCCGATCGGTTGAGGATGGCCTTCCTCCGGTCGGTGACACACTTTGGGGCCGAACGGGCTGTGGGAAAATTTGCAATAAACAAGACGGCCGAAGCTTATTGCGCCGCTGTCACTCGAGAATGAAAGGTCGACTTCAAATTATTAGTAAAAAATCTTTCAAATCGGATGCTATAAAATTCAAATTATATTAGAAATCTACTGATTAAAATTGCTTTAAAGTTAAACTAGAATCAAAATAATTCAGGTCAACTTTAAAATTTTATAACTATCAAATTTTTATGATTTTTTGATTTTATTAAATCCATGTTTTGATAATCTGCATTAATTCAAGTTAATTTTTTTTAAGAAATTAATTTCATACCGTTTTGTCTCGTAATTATATCACCAATTTTATAGATCTCCAGTATCTTTGTTATTTTTTGTGTTGAACTTAATTTTGGTATAAATAAAAAATATTCTTAACTCTAATGCTTAAAATAATGATTATTATGTTTATGAAATGAATTTAGACTTTTAAATAAGTTGGTTTTTATATAAATGAAGCAAGTCTCAATTTGTAAATCTCTCAAATCCTCTCAATTATCTGTAAGAAATTATTACAAGTGCATTGGACAATCTAATTTTTTTTTCTAAATTAAATATCAGATTTATTCAATTCGGACTTTACTATTGAGAACATTCTCATCTGGGACCATTTTTCGGGCCTCAGCTTTCCAATCTCAAGTTAAGGTCCATTAGATTCTTGAGCCAAGTCAAATTATTCCGTAGAAGGAGAGGATAATCGGCGGCAATTGTCTAGCGCAGGCATTCAATAGCATACAATAGGCTTTGTATGCAATTTATTCAGCCTTGCTGCAGCCGAAGCACCGGTCTCGTCGACCGACTCCTCGGATTTCAAGTCGAAGAGGAAAATTATTTTTTTCCCGATCGGCCTGAAGGCGGCGGACGCCCTTGAAACTCAAGCCACGTTTAATTGTGATATTGTCACGTTCAGGATGAATGAAATTAAATTTATTATCAACAGTGCATTGGAGATGATTGCGATGGTTCGCCAAATCGGAGCCAATCCGAAATTATGTCCAACATGCCAAAAGTAGAGAAAGGAAAGGAAGGTTTGAATGTGTTGGCGTGGGAAATTGGCCAGCAATAATTTGAGTAATTTGTTTTGACGAAACCAACCGCTTTGATTATGTTTTCATACATAATGATTTGAGGCATAACCTAAATTGGTTGTAAAAAAGCAATTTATTTTTTAAATTAAAGGAAAAAAATAATAAGCTGCTCAAGTATTGATGCAATTTAAGTTTGTCAAGTCAAAATCAAGTTTGAAGTTTTAAAAGTTCCATTTTCTAAGCTAGTTCATGGCGATTTTTAATTTTAGCCAATCTGGCTCGCAGACGACTTTTTTGTTTGTTTATTTTCTTTTTTCAATTTCAGATTGAATGTCAGAGTGAAACGAACGTTTGAAAAGGTTTTGTGCGAGTAGAGAAAAGTCTCATCAGCGAGACGGATAGAAAGAGAGAAGCACGCAATTCCTCTTTGCTAACGGGTCGACGGTCCCGTTCTCGCAGCTTTTTCCAACTCGGCGACGGCGGCTCGTGTGCTGCTGCGTGGACCGATTCTTTTGTTTAGAAGACGAGTCGAAGGAGGAAAGAATGATGCCGAGTCGGCGACGTTTGATTGAAATGCGAAACAATCACAAACAACGATCAAACTCATTGTTCTGAACTTTTCAATCAAAGAATGAGCAACGAAAATCCGATGGTCACTAGTTAAATTGTTGGGGAAAAATTTACTTTCAAAATGAAAGTTTGATTCATTCTATTCATCTCTTTTATTATAAAAAAGATCAAGTAATTCAATGCAAGTTTTTATTCCAGTGCTAAAAAATGGTTCAGCAAATTTTTTTACTCCAAAATCTGGAAAATAGTTGAAAATTTGAAGATAATCTTGTCAAAATAGAAAAAAGGCTCCGACTTGCTTGAATCTTTTGACCCACAATTCTACAATACAAGAAATTGCTTGGCTTTGTCCTAATCAGGAGATTTTGTTTTTGAAACAGAAATCCTAGTCTGTTTTGAAAAAAAATTGAAATTTCCAATTTTAAGTTGGGAGTTAATTTGCTTTCTGATCATCGTTTTTCTTGATTAGCTTCTGAATCCACGTTTAATTTAATTTTTTTTTATGTTTTTGCTATAAAATTTCATTGGTAATTTTTATTCAAACTTTTTTGTCAAGAAGTATTTGCATTACTATAATTAAGTTGAATTAAATATAAAATATTCCCCCGCAATCAACGAATCAAATTTAAAATTGCCTGCATAAAAATGCACCTGTCCGTCGAAGGGTGACTCAATCCTATCGCCAGTCTATTGATTTCTGTTCATTTTTATTTTTGCAAACAAACACAAAAAGTGACGCAACAACTTTATTGAGACGCAAATTGTGCATTATATGTGCGTCGTCGATTAACCCTTGACTCGGGTCCATCCGATTTCACCCCCGACCGCAATCGCATCAAAGGGGTCCGTCCGATAACGTTCATTTTACGCATGTACCTCTCAATTTACTTATCTCTGCGGCGCGTGCAGTGAAAAAGTATCGATCGGTGACGTCACAACTACGCCGAACGGGGCGGAATGAATGCACCTCGCCCACGATGCACTCTCTTGGCAGCAACCCCTAGCACATGTGCCAGCAGGACACCGCAGTACCACCCCCATGCACACTCTGAAATTCGACGACGGGAACACGTGCTTCGGCAGCAACCCGAGTGATCACGTTTTGTGATTTTACGAAATTTTCACTCGAAAATTATAAAACGAGGGAGACGAAAATTTAATTGAGTAAAAAAATTACCTAAATAATTTGCCTCCCTATTCTATAAGCCGATGCCACACCCATTTTTTATAGCTTGCATTATTCAGGTTTATTCAAGTTTTGCTTTCTATAATTTTGCTTAGTGATAAAGTTTTAGAAATTAATAATAAAATTTAAGCCAAAAGTTATTTTTAAAGTAATGTTATCTTCATATCTCAAACTTTTTTTTGTTAAATTTAAATTTTCCATGTTATTAAAAAAATTAAAATAATTTTTCTCTTCTTCAGTACAATTTATTGGATAATTCATATAATTTTACTTCCATAAAAGGACAGGTGGAAATCTGAGTCATAACTCGGTGAAAACACCTGTTAATTTGTTATTTTCAAAGCGATCTTTTAATTTGTGCAGTTCAGTCACGCGAACCTCCGCTCCACTCAACCTGCACTGCCTGCGATTTATGTTTGCCTTTCTTTCTTTCCCTTCGAACTCTGCGCCGCGGAGAATGCCAATTTTCAATGGTTTCTTTTCCCAACTCTCTCAAAAAACGTACAAACTATTTTCATTGATATATTCTTGACATAAAGTTGAAAAATGCGACTGTAAAGTTTGCCGCGGCAGTTTTATATATAAACGCCAGCGATTTTCACGGCCGGGAAATTCTCCACGGCTTTTGTGAGGAAGCAACAAAGCAGCCGAAAAATTCCTCTTGCTCGAAGATTCCATTCTTAAATTTAATTTGTGGTCCAACGTGACTCTCCCCGTGGATCCTTGGCCTTATCGTCCGCAGCTCTTATCGGCCGTCCATTTAATAGGAAAGCGGTGTTTCCCGTTCGTAATTAATCGTCGATTGTCATTCCGGTGGCAAAGGATGCCGATTTGTCTTCCTCCTGCTGTCACTCCGACAGTCTCTCAATATACTAAAATACACATACGAGGGAGGAGCGAGGAAGGAAAACACAAACAAACTGATGTCAAAATCATCACACTTCCTCTCAACACCGTTTTCCGTTCCGGCTTGTTTCATTCAAACGGAAAGAGTGCCGAGGAATAATTTGGGACTAATTGGAAACCAAATACTTTTGGTCACATCCGTCAAATCTTTAATTGGATAACTTTTCAAAGCTCATATAAAAGATGGTCAGATTAAATTGTTGTTTTTTTTACAAGAGATTGCTAGAGCTGAGCGATGTTGGTCAATCATCCTTTTTTTAAAGCAGAATGTGAAGGAGTGCAACATAATATTTTAGAGAATTCAATTCCACGTAAAGACGATTAGTCAAAAGCTACTAATTTAATAATATTTTTGATGTAATTAAATTTAATTTAAAAAACTGCTTGTTATTAGCATGAAATCTTCTAAAAATAATTTTCAATTAGTATAAACCATTTTGTAATGTTTTAAGAATGTAAAACCCAAAGAAATCACTGGAAACAGGAAATAATTAAATTAGTAACTTTTGACTAATCGCCTTTACATGGAATTTTTTATTATCAAATCAGGAATCCTCTAAATACACCGGTTTTGTCTCAAATATCTCGCTTCTCAGAATTTAATTCAACGTAAATGCGATTAGTCAAAATTTACTAATTTAATCATTTTTTAATAATTGCAAAAAATTTCCTAGACCTTTATTTATTTTAAGTCAAATTTTTTGTTAAAACTAGAAATAATTCATTTTTTTCAATCATTTTATTGTTTTTGAAAATAATAATTTATAATTATTAAATTTATAAAGCACCTCTTCACTTTCAAAACTTCTGCTTTTTCATTCGACCTCTGTAAAGGCAGTATTGACCGCGTACGGCCAAATTACCCAGTCCAGCCTGTGCGCATACCTGTTTTTTAATGCCCAATATCAAACAGGTTAAAGAAAGAAAAATCAGCTGGCGGGGAGAGCATAAAAAATGATCTTGTTGCCCCTTCTTATGCTCGTTTGAGATTCTCTCTCTGGGTAAAATAACGAGACGTGCGTTCCCCTCCATATGGCGAGAACGAGATGCAGCGGTGGCGGCGGCAGAAGTAATTGT